CCGGTAAATCATACTCGGCATCCGAGGTGAGGGAGCGAACAGACTTGTTGGCGAGAGGAATCTCCAAGAAGCTCGAGTTCGCACCAAACGAGGGCACCGAGTGGGAGAAGGTCGTCTGCCTCTTCTCCCTCAACACAGTGAGTAGCAATGGTGCCCAAGTCACCCCGCATCTACCCATGGGACTAAGAGTAGTGCGTAGATCGATTACATCCCCTTCACCCATGCCATGCACCGTTTGTCCGGCATCGTCACTCCCGCTAGCGCCGCTTATTCAGCTCAAGAGCTGGAACACCAGCTGCGGTCGTCCAATTCGAAAGCTCTCTTTACCTGCATCCAATTGCTTGAAACCGCGCTCAAGGCCGCCAAGGGCGCCAACATCCCCGAGGACCGCATCTTTTTGCTGCCGGTACCAGGCGCCGATCAAAAAACACCCTATGTTACTATCGATGACTTGATCCAAGAGGGCAAGTCTCTGCCGGAGCTGGAGCCTCTCAAGTGGGTCAAGGGACAGGGAGCACGCCAGGTTGCTTACCTGTGCTACTCGAGCGGCACCTCGGGTTTACCTGTTAGTAGTTCTGGGTCCTAGAGGCCATCGCAACGTATGTCGAGCTTCGTAGGCTGACTTGGCTGCAGAAAGCTGTTATGATCTCACACAGAAACGTCATCGCAAACGTCCTGCAATTCACTACATACGAAACAGTCGCTAGAAGAAAGCTTGGCGTTAGGACACAAGCGACCCTCGGTCTTCTCCCCTTTAGTCACATTTACGGCCTGGTTGTCATTGCTCACTGCGGTACGTGGCGCGGCGACGGCATCATTGTCCTGCCCAAGTTTGAGCTGAAGCAGTTCCTCGATGCCGTGCAGCGCTTCAAGATCAACTGCCTCCCCGTTGTAAGTTCCCATTGGCAGCATTGCAAGCAATGTATGTACATCTTCTAACCCACGCAGGTCCCGCCAATCGTCATTCAAGTCATCCGCAACCAAGATCTCTGCAACAAATACGACCTTACCAATGTGCGCTGGGTATACACAGGTGCGGCGCCGCTTGGCGCGGAAACCGTGGAGGATCTTAAGAAGCAATACCCCAAGTGGCACGTCGGCCAAGGATACGGTAAGCTCTTGTTTGCACCATTTGCTTGGCTATGTTTACTGAGACAAATCCAGGCATGACCGAGACCAGCACTGTCGTCTGCACAACCTCCGAGATCGACATCGACGTCGGATCATCAGGCTCTCTCGTCCCTGGTGCTCGCGGCAAGATTGTCGACCCCACAACAGGCGCCGAGATCACAGAGTACAACACCCCCGGCGAGCTCCTGGTGCAGTCGCCCTCTGTTGTGCTGGGCTACCTGCACAACGAAAAGGCCAACGCCGAGACGTTTGTATGGCACGACGACGGCCGCTGGATCAAGACGGGCGACGAGGTCCTCGTCCGCAAGTCTGCAGAAGGCAACGAGCACCTCGTCATCGTCGACCGCATCAAGGAGCTCATCAAGGTCAAGGGCCACCAGGTCGCACCCGCCGAGCTCGAGGCCCACCTGCTCACCCACCCGGCCGTGTCCGACACAGCCGTCATCCAGGTGCCCGACGAGCGCGCCGGCGAGGTACCCAAAGCGTACGTCGTCCGCGCCGCCGCCGACGCGTCCAAGCCCGAGGCCGAGGTGTCGGCCGAGATCTGCAAGTACGTCGAGGAGCACAAGGCGCGGCACAAATGGCTCAAGGGCGGCGTTGAGTTTGTCGACGTCATTCCCAAGAGCCCCAGCGGCAAGATCCTGCGCCGTCTGCTCCGCGACCGCGAAAAGGAGGCCAGGAGATCCAAGGGTGCCAAGCTTTGAGATATATGTACTTGTGTGGATGTATATATGAACTATGGGGAGTACGAGATTTGGACTAGTGTTTAGAAGGGTTGGATTGATGTGATGCTGGGTATTAGACGATCGTTCGGGAGTGTGCGTTAATCGTTATACCTACGAAATGCACGAAATGCTTATATTTAGCGTCTGCTGTACCATCAGAATGCTGTCGTTTGGCTGAATACGAGTTCAGACAGGCCAGTTCCGAAACGAGTGACGTCTGAGCCCCTGCTGTCGTCGTTGTGAAAGCCTGACGCGTAGTGAGCAAGTGTTGAAGAAACATGTGTCATTTTTTGCTTCCTTCCTGAGTTCCCTCAGGTAACTTGCTCGACTACGAACCCTCCGATTCCTGAAGCATGTTCACCCTAATATCATTCAGTATCTGGTGCAAACTTTGTAGACGCAACCACTAATCACGCGTCCCTAGTACCTGGAAAGGCTACCGGAGACCCAGAGTCAATGATCATGACTTGCCAAACCCTCATCGGCTAATCCCCAAAAAGAGCCTCAATGCTTAGTCGCACTTAAGCATCTCTTAGCGCTGCCAGGGATCCAAAACAACTTACGGATACCAAGCCTCCCAACGTCGCAGAAACCCCATCAAACAGGCCCTCGCCTCTTATTAGTGGAACTGGCGACCTGGAACTTTTGGAAATCTCCATGGAAGATTTTCATCGTGGCAAAACAATCCCGTTAATTCGCTGTCGAAGTTTGGTGAAAAAGATCTGTAATTGATGGTCTCCTCCCGAGTGGGAGAAGTACCCCCCCGGACCGGGGTCTGAAGCGACAAGCCCCGAGCGGGTGTGCCTTGCGGCTTCGCAGGGGTGGACCCGGCGCCTGGGGTCGGTTTCGAGTTTCTGCTGCAAGCGCAGGCCGGACGACCAAGAACCTCAAACGCTCTGCGACACCTTGTTGTTGAACTTGGTGCCCTGGATGGCTCTGCTCCCGAGTCGGGAGACGCAGCGCCAAGCGAAACAGTCGTCGAGCCTCTCGCTGGCAATCCAACCCTTTTCATACTTCGTACACGCACTTTTGGTTGCGGATGCCCAGAGAGGCGCTCTTTTTGGTGACAATTGTCCCGGACAACCTAGTTCCATGTCGAACTGATTGACCAGTCATGTATTCCCCTTTGCCCCCTTGGCACATGGGAGATCAAAAGCCACTCCCGTCTTTTAAGTCTTTGACCACGGAGTAAGGACTAAGTCGTCTACAGAGTACAGGCCAGAAGGGGGCGATCAGACCTAGACTGACTTGTCCCAACTCTCACACACAACCGAGTCCAGGCGAAACAGAGACAACACAAGCTTATCCCCTCCCTTCTTTTTCGTCTCTCCATTATTGAGATGGTTCGCTTCGCAGATGGCCTGTATGGCTCCCGCCAGCTGGGCTCGCTGGTAGGGTAGGTTGACCGTTGATACGTCCTTCTTTCCCCATGTTTAGTCTGAAGACGGGGGGACTCGCTTGAACCCATGCAGAGGAGCCAAAGAAAAAAAGACGGGATAGAGCCAGTCACGATGCTGGTCAATGCCAGAGCGAAGGCGAGGGAAAGAAGAGAAGCCGTTGGTTGTCATTCGGACGGCGAGACCGTGTGGAGAGAGGCTATTCGATACCCATGACCATGGGATGGTCGATGCTCATGCGAGCAAACGGTTCTTTAAGATAAACCTAACCTGCCACCCCATCCCCCTTCCTTTTGGGTTTCCCTCTCTTTTTGATTTTCCTTTCCCGGGTTTCTGGGAAATTCCGCATTTGTTTCTTACCAAGAATTCCTTCCAAGACCACTTGATCTTCGTGGGAGAGTGACGCGCCGCAAGCTTGGCAGCTTTTTTCCTTCCTATAATTCTGTCCTTTAATACAACACTCTTCCACTTCTTCTCTCCTTCTCTTCGCTCTCGACCAGGATGTTGACCGTCCGCTCCCCCGTCGCCGCCCTCGCGGTGGTCCTCAGCTTGCTGAGCGTCGTCCACGGCGCGCCTCAGCCCCAGAACAGGAAAGGAAATGGAAACCGGGGCGGGAACGGCAACGGCCGCGCCAACAGGCAGACGGCGCAGCAGCAGGCCGCCGCGGTGCCCCAGGGCATCTCGCAAGCGACTGACGGATCCATGATTCTGGACATGACCGCAAACGTCAAGTAAGTCTTTCCCGGGACTGCCCGTCTACTGGTCTTCCTCCTCCTCCTCTTGTACGCACATGACTAACATCGTTACCTTCACAGCGGCCTCGACCTCCGCTTCAAGATCAGCGGCCCAGCCGAACAATTCACCGCCGCCTCCGGCGTCCCCGGCGCCGCCGCTCAACCCGGCGCCCAGGGCACCCTCGGCCTCAACGTCCTCCTCCACGGCGACGGTGGCCAATCCTTCTTCGACATGCCCAACCAGGGCGTCCAACAGAACCTCGCCGGCGTCGCCGTCCTCGCACCCGACCCGAACCTCTTCTGGGGCGGCGGCCAGGGCCTCCAGCGCACCGACGGCGTAGCCCACTCCCAGGCCGTCAACGACCTCGTCCAGAAGACGCTGCCGCAGATGATGGCCTTCAACCAGTCCAACGTCTTCTTCACGGGCGTCTCGGGCGGGTCCCTGATGCTCTCGGGCTTCTTCATGCCCGCGCACATGCAGAATTTCGCCGGCAACGGCGTGCTGCTCAACTGTGGTGGCTTGCCGCCGCAAGTCGACGTCGTCGACGCGAAAGCCGTCGCGGGCACGAGGATTCACTTCCAGAGCACGCTGCAGGAGCTCTCCAACTTGCAGGAGGCGATCCCGGCGTCCGTGAAGGCGTACGAGAAGATTGCGACGGACGCCGGGCTGAGCACCGACCAGGTCAACGCCAAGCAGACGGTCAACAACTCGCCCAACGGCGGGCACTGCGCTTTCGACGAGCAGGGGTTCGTGTCGGGTATTCAGCTGGTTGCGAATAACTACGCGGCTATCATGCAGGGCGGCAACGGCGAGGTGCAGGGTATCGGCAACGTCTTGACTGGTGTCACGGGCAATGAGAACTTGCAGTTCACTGGGTCGAGCAGGATGAGGCGAAACATGATCGATTGAGAAGGACTGAACCTAGTTCAGGCGACCGACTTGGAGAAGCATGATGTTGATACCACGCCCTCTCAGGATACATATATAAATTAAAAATGAGATTCAATTTCTGCTGTTATTTTGATATCTCGAAAAGTGCGACAGTCACTAATGCATTAAATCTCATCAGCAATGGGAATTCAGTGAGAACAACCCCCTACTTCATCCAAGAACTGGGCTCTCTGGCCTGGCAGAGCTATTCTTCTCCGTGACCCCTTCAACATGCTGACTACCCGGCACTGAAAGCTCCTGAGCCGCGACTTCGTTTGCAGTCATCTCAGACATAGGGCTCATAGGTGAATTTGGGTACGATCCTTCGAGCTCCATTCGACGCGGGATACAATCCGAATGCAGTTGCGGCTTTTCATATTCCCCCTGGCCGTAGCCACCGCTACGAGTACCAATGGCAATACCGGTAGCCATGGATTCTTCTTTGTCAATCAATCGATGCCTTCGTCGTCTGAGGAACCAGAGCGCGCCGAGCAAGAGCATAATAGCCGTGATCACGCCAATGACCGGCCCTGCTATCCATGCCGAGTTGCCTGGTATCGGTCCTGTTATCCCTCTCAATTAGCATCATCATCACGTCAATTTAGCTATTCCAGACATCATACCTGAGTCTCCCGTCCCGGGTATCTTCCCAGTTTCTGTCGAAGACGACGACGGCCAGCCGCCGCCTGTCTCACTGCTGTCCGTCGGTTTGAGCTCCGTCGCCGTGATCGTCTGGAGACCTCCCGCCACTAGGTCGCCATAAAAATCCGTAAGGGGTCCCCAGTGCGCGCGGGTGACGACAGTTAACTGTGAAGGCGCATACGTCCAGTCCGAAGGTTTACCGTTGCAGTAGTCTAGATATTCCTTGAATTTCGGCTCGACGCGTTGAGATATGTACGTTGCTGAATCCTCCACGGTGACATGTAAGCAATTGATACAATCTTCGTACTCTGTATGAAAGTGTGCGTCCTTGTGGCAGATCAATGGCTGTTTGCCGATTGCCTGGATGTATATGTAGAGAGCATCTAAGGCGCAGAGTGGTGGTCAGTCGCTGGCGGCAATTCCTTTCCGAGAGATCGAGAAACTTGGTGAAAGAAATGCGTACTTAAACGTTTCATGCATGGTCCCGATGGACTCGTCATGAAAAATGCCCTACCAAAATGGGTCACCGTCGATGATTCTGGCGTAGGGTACGTGGAAGTAGCCCCAATCGTCGGCGTGATTATCGAAGCTAACATCTTCAGTCCAGTATAACTATTCGATTGAATCAGGTCATCGACGTTCTTTTCTCTTGAGGTTTGTAAGTTATGAGGGTTCCTCCCCCGCAAGAAGGAGCGTCAGACGTGAAAGATACTGACAGCATCAAGGTACGCCGGGCATGCAGCTGATTTTATATGACCACGAACGCCACACCATGTCAGAGTCATCGGTTCTACTACAGAGATGTTTGCCCTTCTTGGCAACGGGTATGAGCCGCTCAACGGGAGTCCGTGATCTCCGGTGCGGCCAGTCCGTAAGCATGATCCCGCAGGCCGAATGGGATGGTGCGAGAGTGAGCGATGGGTGGTAAGCGCCCAATGAGAGCGTATCGTCATGCTGTGTTACTTGACAAGAGTGTGTTTCGTGGTGATGGCCGTACGATGGCTCGTCTTACGTGGCGTCCGGGGTACCTTGCCCAGTTGCCCGTGAAAAGGCACAAAACGATCCTAAAATGGAGGAAGTCTGGGCTGGCTGATGATTTTGGTCGACTTACATCGATTTTTGCTGGACTTTGGAGGACGGCACGGGTAGCTGCGATGCGTATGGAACGAAGACTAACCATGGCTGGAAAGAGTGGCACTACGTTCTTCACTTGTCCTTATGCTGCTCGGCATGCTGCTTCCCTCTATACCTCGTGTGCTGTTCGCCGTCCTTGCCTCGACTAGTTGTGCATACTCGAACCGTTCAACTACGTTTGTCTGGCATCTCTGCAACGTGACGACTGTGCGGAACCAACATCTCCTGTGCAGCGATCTCGTTCGCGCTCATCTCCGGTACTGGATCTGGGTATGACCCCTCGAGTTCTATGGCGGGCTTGGGAGGTAGACTGTCGGAGTGAAGTTGTGCCTTGGTGTACTCGTCATTTCCTTCGCTCGTTTCCTCAGTAGCTAGCTGATTGGCCCTTCTTCTCCGACGTCTGAGAAACCAGAAACCAATGGCAAGAGCAATGACGGCGATGCAGCCGATTACTAAACCGGCTACCCAGGCTCTACTGGGGCTCGAGGACGATTCTTATTTTGGTTAGCATTGAGATTTTCTACCAATATGGCCCAGGCAGCAACGAACCTGCCGAAGCTGTTCCTGTCGGTAGTGTGATTTGCGACAAAGAAGACGAAGAAGTAGTTGAGGTAGCTGGGGCGTAAATTATCGGGCCCATTGTTGTCGTTGTCCGAGTCACCAACTCAATATCGCCGTTGAGGCGTGTGAAAGTAACAGCGTACGTGACAGTCTGTATCGGGTTGCAGAGGTCCAGATATTGTTGGAATTCGGGCCCAAGATCCTCAAAACTGGTCGAATTCTTGCTATTGACTCCAATACAAACCTGACAATCTATGAGGTCTTTGGCAAAGGGCGAGGCGATGTTGCATAAGGAGGGATCTTTCCCAACTCCTTGCGCCTCAATATAGGCATTGTCTGGGTACAAATATCGTCAGTTATGTGGCGGACATCGGCGAGGGTAGAGGAAAGCAACTCACTACATTCAGCAAAACATACAGCTGGAACGCTGGTCATGGTTCATTGACGAGGGTTGTGGGCGGCCGATTGAAGTCGGAAATTGGTGGTGATGCCTGGGCGAATCGCGGCAATATTGCAACCGAGTCTGTCACCTAATCTTTGTCGAAAGAGATTGAGTCGATACTCTCTCAATGCGCGGTCACCAAGGTGGGAAAGCCTCCCTTTTCTCTTTTGTGGGGGAACTGACCGGTGTCAGTCTTATATGGGTGCACGCTTCTCGAGCGGAGGAAAGGCACTCTGCAGTTGCTTATCTTCTTGGCAGGCCTTTTCAGCTGCTCTTTCAGGATTCAACAACACCGCCATTTAAATCGTTTCAAGCCAATGACCTTATTCCTTTACTCAATAAATCAGGCTGTAGACCAGGACAGAACAGGGCCAGGCAGGGCAAATGCTGTGACACCCAAGGGCAGCATCACACTGGTGATGGTTCTTGGATGGCGATCGGTTTGATCGGTCCGGTCTCCATTGCATGTTTCAATCTTCTCGTAACTAGTTCCGAAAGGATATCATTGGCAACGAGCCATGTTCTGGGCGCACTCCTCGTTTTTCCACAGCCTGCTTCATGTGGCGTAGCAGCTATCACCTCGGGACTGACTTGGCCGAATCAAGATCAGGCTGCACTATTATAGATAGTCGAGTAGCCCGCGGTGTCATCAAATGTCTTTAAAAATTTCCGGCAATTATTCTATTCTTGGGCGCTCTCTATGGCAGTATTCATCCTCCAAAGTGACATTCCACAAGCTGCTGTAACGGGGACATCGTCCGCTGCCTGATCCAAACTCCACAACCACTCATCCACCTCAAACGCACAGTCATTTGTTTAACCGAAATAGTGAAGCTGACCGTTTTTGCGACAATGATCATAGACCTTTGTGGTCCATTCGGCATCATGCTGTTGCTGGTTACGATCCCGTCTCTTCGTCATGCCCTCATGCATGAGAATCATCTCTCCAACTCGAGCTCTAGACAACATCACGCACAGACGCTTTGGGTCGTCGAGGAAGCCAGCGCTTCTCGTCCTAACCGTGTCAACAAACACAAAGTCTGCCTCGTGCCCTTGAGCAGAGTCCACAGTGCGGGCCTCGAGAGCATTGAACCGTAGCTCCACGTCCATCCTTCCCCGGAAGTGAGGTGGAAGAGTCTTGATCAACTGTTTATACCGAACCAAAGCAGCCTTGTACGGCGTGATAATCAGGATTCGTCCAGGCTGGTCAGGCTTGTCAACCTGTTTGAATTCTGGGTGTCGGAGCAGTTCGTGACAGCGCTGCTTGATGAAATTCTCGTGAACCTGATTGTAGAAGCTCGACCGGTCTCTCATCTCCTTGGAGTACCGTAGGTTGAGCAGGATTCGAGGTACAGTACGTTTCTGGCCCCTGGTGAATTGCCCGAGCCATTTTTGTATGTGGCGTACGGGGTCGGAGAAACGCTCAGCTTCGGGGATTCCTGAAGTTAATTGCCCATCATAGAATAACTCTGATGCCAATACTTGAAGGTCTCCGTACATTCCTGAACGTCGTTAGCAGTGTAATCATACGAATAATATGTCACAGTACTCACGGTGACTGATGAGAAGTTTGCTCTTCAGAGCCCCGGCAAGATCCGCTCTTTCCATGGTGCTTATCATGAGCTGCTTTGCATAGATGTTCTCCTTCTCCATGCCCTTGCCGCCTTCAACGAAGGGTCTGGTTTGTCTGGTATCGCCGGTGAGAATGAACGCACAGGGCGAATACAGTGCAATCGGGATGAGGGTTGTAAGTTCTCTGGCATGAGCAGCTTCATCAAGGAACACAATGTCTGGATGAAAGTTTTTGCTCAGGTAACCAGACGCACCAACTGGAGTTGTGGCGATGAAATCGGCGTCTCCAATCACGGAGAGATAGAGTCTAGCTACACGATTCTTGAGCTCTCTTGCCGTCTTGTTGGTCTTGACAGCACCGTTCTCGAGCTTTTCGAGTATCTTGGTCAAAGACTTGTACCGGGTTCTGTCGGCGTCGTACCTCTTCCACGCAACTTCGTCCAGGGATGGCGCTCGATCGCCACGGGCTTCGTTGGTAGAATGAGTACCGTACGGTAGACCGACAGAAGCACGAGCTTGTCTGAGGAATCCGGCGGTGAAGTCAGGCTCGTCATCTTCACTTGCCGAGGGTGTTGGGTGAAGCTTTGCACTGCTTCGCATCTCGCGAGCGCAACCTCGAACCCTAATCACTGACTTGTTGATTCCGGCTTTCTTCAAGGTTGAATACACTCGGTCTGCTGCATCATCGCAGGGGTAATTGACGTCGAGAAGATAGAGAATCCTGACCTGCTTGCAAATCTTCTTCCCATCATCGCGCACGAGTTTGCGAGAATGAGAGACAGCCATAGCGGAGATGAAGGCGTTCAATGCCGTCTTTCCAGCACCAGGACAACCGAGGATGATCGCTAGTCCTGCCGGAATCCGACGAAGTTGCTCGTAGACATTCTTGTGGTCTGCATTGAGTCGGCTGTAGACCGACTGCAGGTACGCGTTGGGATGGCTAGCAGGGTTGTCCATATGTGGGATCTTGTCGAACATGTCGATGTAGAAAGTTGGCTGTTTCCGGAAGTCCAGTAAGTACTCGAAGGTTCCAATGGTGTTTTCCGACAGTTCATTTCCCTCTTTCTTCGGCTGAGTCAAGATGCTCAACGCCGTCAATTCAGCTTCATACGTCACAGGATTCTGATCAATCCGAAGGCTGATCTCGTTAGCATTTTGCAAGCTGAGGGGCGTTGGCCCGAAGCCAAAATGCAGGTCCTGCCTCACGGCGATTGAGAAGAGCGGGTGGTACTGCTGCTTCGTGATAGGGTCGGCAACGTAGTCCATGGTAACATTGAATGCTGCCAGCAAAGAGTACTGGTACATCCCCGGGATTGTCTCGTATGGATTGGGAATGCGCTGTGCGGAGAGAGTTCCAGGATTGTACTTTTTGCCCTTGCAAACAAAATCCCGCTTGAATGAGATGCTGCACATGTCGCCTTCGTCAGGGAAATGGCGTTCCGGTGTCGAAGGCAACTCGGCAAGCACAATCCACTTCCTCTGCAGATCCGACTCGATGAGTGAGTAAGGCCCCGGTACAGGAGCAATCACCCAGGCGTATCTGGCCTCAGGCGCTTCGTTGAACCTCCTGATGGCAGAGGCCTCGTTCGCCATCTCTATGATAGTTCCTTCGCGATGAACGCGAGCGAATTCGTGGGCGCTATTGAACGAGTGAACCATTCGGCGGCCACAATCTCTGTCGGAGAGCTCCAGCTAGTGGAATTAGTTCCGCGAAGATAGATACGGGTATGGAATCAAGAAGAAGATTTACAATATTCTGTGGCGCGGGGGATGCATGACTGTCTTTCGCTGTGAGGGGCGCGTGAACATCGTCGATAGGCCCGTAGCCAACATTCCACGTCGCGAAGAGCATCTGAATATCGTCAGCGGGAGTTCGTTGACGGCGACACAAGCGTTAGAAAAGATTACCTTGGTATGTTGTCTTGACGAAAGCGCGATGGCGTACGTTTTAAGGCGTACGCTTTGAGAGGTGCCAAGCTGACAACCCAAGAATACTGAAAAGAACGCCGTAGGTACAAGGTGGCAGACTGAGGACTGTGATCACGCAGCTTTCTGTGATCGTAGCCGAATATTGCT